AACAGTCTTAACACGGGACACTCTCATGATCAGCTTTTTACGTTATGCACTTTGTTTAAAAAAAAAAGTTAAATACATTTTAAATGTTATTTAATGTCTTTTCCAGTAAAAGCCAAAATAAATAAGTAGAGGATTGTGGTGTGTGCATGTTTGGGGGGGAGAGGGAGGCGAAGGGTTTGAAGAATTCACCTGTGCACAATCTTAGGGGAAAGTAAAGCTATTTCTGTAACTTCCGAGGCTGCAAGGTCATAGAGGGCTTACATGGCCCAGCCCAAGGTGATGGGGTGGGGCTTTCATTACTGCCCTGTCCTGAGCTCTGCCACAGCCTCGCCTCTGCTCTTCTCATGTACCTACATGAGATCAAGAACGCACTCATCTATGGAGGAGACCAGTGACAAATAACTTTACAACAGTCCTGCCATACAGCTGCGCCTTGGATTTCTCAGCAGCACTCTACCCTTCCGTTGTCTGAGCAAACAAACCATGGTTAGAGAAACAAGCACCTCTGCAGGGATGCCTTCAGAAACCATTTCATCTTACACTGACTGTCACCTCTTTACAACTGTATTAAAGCTGCAAGGAAAGAGACAAAAGAAACGCTCACCTAGAAACTCCTGCAGACACACCAAAAGGAAACGGTCCTTGAAGTTTTGAGTACCACGGTTCCTTAAAAAAAATCAACTCCTTTATTTGGCAAACTGGAAAAAAATAGGGCTAGCACAATAATACAAATTGCAATCATGCTAGTTTCATCTTCCCTCTCACCCAGTTAATCCACGGTTAAAAACCACAACCTCGTGCTCATTCCTCCAAATTAGCTCAGCTGCAATGAAAAGTCGGACTTAAACCCGGCGCCAGGAGCAGTCCCATGCCAGATTATCATATTTCCAGTTGTTGCTTCAGCACCTTTCATAACCGAGCTGTCCCCCCGCAGGCTTGCATGCCAAATGCCCCGCTCGCTTTGCAGGGGGCCCCGAGGGAGGAACACCTCTAAGATTTGGTTAAAGGAAGCAACTCAGGCCCCTGAGCAGCACAACTTACCAGCACTGCAGAGAACGCCTGCTCGGCTTTCAGATTCATCCTCATCTGAGCCACTTCCTGCAGACCGCGACCAACCTCCCCAAAGCCTGCCCCTGTGCTAGCACCGAGAGGGGACAGGAGGGGTGCTGGCAGGACAGAGCCCGTTGCTATATGTCTATGCGAAAGCTGGGAGCTGC